GGCGACCGTCGGAGCAGTGGGTAGCGCGCGGGCCAGAGCCATGGCTCGCGGCGGGATGGGTGTCCGGGGACCGGGCTGGGCTTTTAGGACGCCCGGGGCCTTCTCCAGGTGGTCCAGGGGCTGCTGCGTCGGATCAGCTGGGGGGAACCTCAGCTACTGGCTTTGCGGCTGGGGCCTGGAGAGCGGGGATGCCCCTCGGGCTGGAAATCCGGAGTCACGCGCCGCGGGGCGTCACCATCCCTCCCTCTCCCTGTGCACCTTGGGGCCCTGCCTGGTGGCGTCACAGATAAGCGGCCGAGAACCCTGGCTACCAGCCCTTGTTTCCTGGGCGCGGCGTTCGGTGGGTACAGGAGCGTCCGGAGAAGGGCGGGCGGGCATGGGCGGGCAGCGAAAATCTCCGGCTTCCGGGCGCAGGAGGGTTCGTCTCCGGCGGAAGGAGCCTTGCTCCGAGAGCCGGGGGCAAGCACAGCCCGCAGCCTTGGACAATGGCTGCTGTGTCAAGTACCAGGACCCGGTGCGCACAGGACCCCCACACCCGCCGGCGGCGCCCCGCGCCCGCTGGGACATTTCGTGGGGTCCCCAACTCCCCCCCCCGGGGCCTCGGTATCTCCGGTTAAATGCACCCCGCTGCGCAGGGTGCGTGCACCTTTTAGGAGGAGCCGACTTTCCCTGCTTTTTCGGCAGGGCCCTGTCTTTTTCGGCAGGGATCCGCCTGGGATCCCTCCTGCCCTGGGGACCCAGGCCAGATGAGGATCCCCGATGTCCGCCACCCACTCAGCGTGCCCTTGCCTTGCAGTGCGCGTCCCGCGAAGACTGGCGCTGTGCTCGGTCTATGCACGAGTTCTCCGCCAAGGACATCGACGGGCGCATGGTTAACCTGGACAAGTACCGGTGGGTACCTGCCTGCCTGGTGGTGGTGGGCGACAGGGGGAAGGTCAGCGGTCCGGACCTCACCTGACTGCCCCATCCCACCTCCAGGGGCTTCGTGTGCATCGTCACCAACGTGGCCTCGCAATGAGGCAAAACCGACGTAAACTACACTCAGCTTGTCGACCTGCACGCCCGATATGCTGAGTGTGGTTTACGGATCCTGGCCTTCCCTTGCAACCAGTTCGGGAGGCAGGTGCGTGGCCGACCCTGTGCCCTGGGAGTCCCTGTGTGCGGGCGTGGGGAACTGGGTGTGTGGAACTGGGGACCAAAAAGGGGTAGAGGCCCCTCTCCACTCACCCCAGCGTCCCCCGCTCACCACAGGAGCCAGGGACTAATGCCGAGATCAAAGAGTTCGCCGCCGGCTATAATGTCAAATTCGATATGTTCAGCAAGATCTGTGTCAACGGGGACGATGCCCACCCGCTGTGGAAGTGGATGAAAATCCAGCCCAAGGGGCGAGGCATGCTGGGAAAGTGAGTGGAGGAGGGGAGGACAGGCTGGCTCACCAGGGGCTGTGGGGGCCGCCGTTGCCACAGGGTTCCTCGTGACTCTCCCCTTTTCTTGTAGTGCTATCAAGTGGAACTTCACCAAGGTAGGTGGGGGTTTTGGGAAGGGGGGGCTAGACCAGGACTGCCCCGCCGAATGGGGCAGCTGGTGCGGGCCTCTCCACCTGACGCTGCCCCTCCGGCAGTTCCTGGTTGACAAGAATGGCTGCGTGGTGAAGCGCTACGGTCCCATGGAAGAGCCCCTGGTAGGTGCCTTTGTAGGGAGGCCACCTGGGTGGGGCCGCGGGAGGAAGGGTGCCTGACTGTGCTGCCCCGCAGGTCATCGAGAAGGACCTGCCCTGCTACCTGTAACCCACAAGTGCGCGCCCCTGCCCGCGCCCGCCTGTGCCCCTTGGAGCCTTCCACCCGGCACCCATGACGGTCTGCCTGAAAACCAGTCGTTGGTGGGGCAGACCCGAGAACCCGGCGTGCACCCCCGCTGGAGGAAGGACCCTCGGCCGGCCAGGCTCGCGGCTCACACCCCCTGCCTTGTGGGAATAAAACATACAAATTGGCCTGCTGGGTACTCCTGCCTCCCTGGGGGGTCGTGGGGTGTGGAATTCTGGGGTTCAGAGGGCGGCTCCACCCCTTGTGCGCAGGCGCACTGATTCCTCCGACCCGGGTCTGGACCTGGGTATTCCCTAGCCGGCTGAGGCGGGAGGGCCAGGGGAGCCGGAGCCCCCAAGCCTGCTCATGGAGTGCTGTCCACAGCCCCCCAGGAGGGTCGTGCGGGTCCTGCACCAGTTGCTGTTCTAGAGGCCCCGGACCACAGCTGGCCTGCAGTTGAGGGAGCTGTCCTGGGGTATGGGGCACCCCCATTTCCAGTACTCCCAGGAAGGCCAGCAGCAGGGGTGGGCAACTGCCCGTTTGTGTGTCCCCTCGGTCAGGCCAGTGCTCCTAGGAGGGGGGGCTGGTGTCCACCCTGTGTCAACAGGACCCAGCTCTTGGGCTCTCCGTCTGTGCCGTAACCGTAACCAGCACCACAGAGGGACACACCAGGGGGTCTGGGAAACTGGTCTCAGCACCACGAGGGTCCCATGGGCTTCATGTCTAGGGGCGTGAGGCAGCAGCCTCTGGTGTACGATACCACCAGCCTGGTTCAGTCAGTTGGGAGACACCTGACTCACTGCGTTGGTGCCTATGGCCCCAAGGGGTAGAGGTGTCTCTCCAGTCTGGCTGTCATGTATGTGGCAAGGGGGATGAGCCCCAAGACCGAAAGAACGGCCTCACGGGGGGTGGGGTGCATGGAGTGAGCCCATTTCAGACAGCATGCCGCCACCCTCTGCAGATGGCAGCCACCCCTAAATGCCCTCCTGGAGGGCATGTGCAGAGCTCCCCCACCCTGCGCCCTCGCTGTCCCTGGGCTGGAGAAACAAACAGCCTGGGAAGTAGTGAAAAGGCACATATATTTAAAAAAGATCTCTTTACATATGTACAGGAATTACTATAAATACCGTAGAAACCGGGGGCCACCCCCACCAGCTCCACAGATTCCGGGCCCTGGGAGAGGCAGCTGGGCAATAACTTAGGGAGCAGAGAGCAGGGAGGGGGATTGCATATATTAATGGGGTCTGCCCCACACAGCCCCCCAGACGGCGGGGCCCTGAGCACCGGGGGTTTCCTGAGTTTCCAGCTCTTGGGGCCACCCAGTTTTGTGTATTTCAGGGGTTCCAGGCTTTCCAGGCCTGGAGGGCAGGAGAGGCGAGGCAGGGAGGGTGGGCCCCACGTGGGCCCCACCCACAGGCCCCGCCTGGGCGCCTGGCCCCTGGTCCTGCGTGGTCCTGCGTGGCGGGGACCGTCACATCACCGCCACCCCCCAGGCAGGGTTTCAGGGGGCCCCGCGGGTTGGTGGCACCTTGCCAGGGGTCTGCCCGGGCGCCACCGGGAAGGCACTGCAGTGGAGGGTCGGCCTGACAAGGGGCACCCCCAGCCCCTCCTCTCAGTAGTCGCAGAGGACCAGAGCCCTGCTCACCACCCGCTTCGGTACAAGGCCAGGACTGTGTCCGGGTAGACATGGCGTATTACACATAAATAAGTCTCATCCAGGAAGAACGCCCGGTGGCGGCCCAGGCCTAGGAGTTGGGGAAGTGGGGGCTGAACTGGATGACGCTTTGCCGCTCGGTGCCCCCGCCGCCCCCAGGCGCACCCGGGGCTCCTGCACCCACGACCAGCTGCTCGGGGGGCGGGACAGCATTGAGGGAGCGCAGCATGTCCTCCAGCACCTCCTTGAAGTTGATGTCGCAGCCCTGGTGGTGCACGAGGGCCGCGGGGTCGGGGGGGGCGTCGGGGGCGCCCAGCAGCAGGCTGCTGGGGGCAGGGGTGGGGTCCGGTGGCAGCGGGAAGGCGAAGGGCGAGGGCGTCGCGAAGGCCTGGGCCGGCGGGCTGTAGGTGAGGTCCAGGACCTCGCCCGGGC